GAGTGCCTCTCGTCCACCTCCTCGTCCCGGAGGTTCTGCACTGCCCACTGGACACTCTCGGGGTCGGTGAAGGTGATGACCCTGTTGGATCAAAGGACTCACGGATTTCTGCAGGACTTCAGGCTCTCAAAATTGCCCTTGTTCAATACGGCCTCGGTGGGAAGTCTTGGTGGTTCGTCGAGTTGTTCAAAGATGCGCTCGCTTCGTGTTACTTTTGTGCTCATGAGTTTGAGAGCGCTGTCGCCCGTCTTCTTTTTGTCAGGAGGGTCTTGCCGCCTTTCGGGGCTTAGAGGGTGTCTCTGGAGGCATTTCCTGTACGAACCGGCACTAAGTCTGCATGGCATGTGTAAGTTCTACAGTACCTCGAAGCAACCCCAACGTCCAAAATGTCTCTACTACGAGGAACATGCATGTTGAGGCGAAGCAACGTCGCCCCAACCACACGATATCGCGCCTTGCCACAGATTACAATCCGAATTTTTGAAGTACAGCTGCGTTAGCCTGCACCCCAAAATACCCCAAACCCATCCTAGGCCCGTTTTACCTCTGAACATTAGACTGTACAGGGACGATTGGCTCAGGTCGCTACCCCATGCCGCGGGACTCTCCAGAAGGCTTCTTGAATATTCGCACGCCCTTGGGCTGGCGCGGTTTGGGAATATTAAAGGGGCGCGTCCTAAGTTTCTGAAATGTCGGATATGGGCTTGGGTGCTAGCTTAGGATGGAAGGTTCTGCCTGGAGCGTGGGTGGAAGCTTGGCTGCAGAGAGTGTACTTACAGCTTTGTGCCGGATACGCTGTTCTCTTTAGCACCATGGAGGTACTCCGATGGCGTGGGAACCGTTCCTGCCCGTAATGTCAGTCAGATTCTTCAGATTCTCTCTTCAAGCAGTGCCCGTGGAACCTGCCGCCAAGTCGCTTCTACCGTTCCGGCGCGCTCAAAGACCTGCTAGCACCCGGGATCTCATAAAAGAGGGGCTGTGGCCTGATGGGATGCTATGCCGGTTTCTGGGGCTTTTGGGGTTTGAAGATCAGTGACTTCATTGACTTTCTTGCAGGATTCTTGTGTTTTCGGCCGCCCGGCCCGAAAGACATCAAAAAATCTGAAGCAGGCCCAAAACTCCAAAAGCATCCATCTGCTGCTCCTCACCGGAGGCAGGCAAACAGCCCCTGAAGAGAAAGTCACGTACAGAAACGCTGTCTGCGGCCATTTCCGTCTTGACATGTGGGGTGAGGGCTCAGGATCCAGGAGACTTCACAAACCAGAGACTGCAAAGTCCAGCCTCTCTCAAGGTCTCCTCAGTGGTGCCTCATTTCAAAAATATCCATGAAGCTTGTGGGTCTCGCGTCTCACACTTGTACAGGCCAGAGGGTCAATGGGTTTTTGGGGCTCAGGCATGTTCTGACATGGGACCTCAGATAGTGACTCACGGTTGCTTCACGTCGATTCTTAAAGCGACGGGAGATCAAAGCCTGACAGTCAACAACGCCGTGCACACGCAACCACGCAAGCGTGGGCCAGCCCCAAATAGGAAATGCCTTGCGATGTGAGGACGCCACAGCGACAGACCCTTTGTGCTGATGTCGGGCTTAGGTTTAGCCTCTCTGCTTTTAAAGAGAATCGTCGGGTTTCTTGATGTTTCTTGCGCCTCAACACCTCAGGGCTGGCCCGGCTTTTTGTGATAGAATGCCAGTGCTAACGATGCTGAGCCTATGACAAACCATGGAGGCTTGGGTTTACCACTCCCGCGTCCGTTTTGTCTGTCCCCTACGCCGAAGCTACATTACTGCGAAAGACTGCCTTTTTTTAGAGGGCCATGGGGGGGATTTTGCCGGCATACTCCAAACAGCGCAACACCACTTCAAGAGCATTCCATGAGACCTCTTCAAAGGTTTAAACTGGCATTTTTTGAACTCAACACACGCTCCCGCCTAGGGAACAGAGACACTTCTCATTTTTCGATGCGCCCGCGCCCTGAACCGAAAAAACACGCGCGCCTGCCAGAACCCGTAAGCACAAGCTCAGAAAACCATCATGCCGACCGAGGTGTGTACTGAAAAAAAATCATCCTAAGAAACCGGACAAGCACGACACAGGAAGTTTTGTGCAAGGTGCTGTAGGGCACGTTGCTGAAGAAGACCTCTCGGGGCATTTGTGCTGGCATCGGCCTGTGCAGCGGCGGCGCAGTCTGTGATCTTCAGAGTTCTACATAACCTGTATGCCCTTGACTGCCCCGCTAGCCTGATGTAAACGGATGTACAGATGCACAGCTGTCAACACTCTACATCCAGAACCTGACTCTCAAATTGACTAGTGACCACTCGCAACGCACTACTGCCGCACCAATGCTCGAGGCAAAGCAAAAAGTCTAGCTGCTCCAAAACGAACGCAACACATGCCACGTGAAGAAATACATGTAAGGACAGATCACCCTTCGAGCAGTGGCCATGGACTATGCCCCCTGCCAAGCGTGGCTAGCATTCTCATCTCTCATGTTTCAAAAAGCTTGGGTTTGCATGTGAGGGTTGTTCTATATTCTTGTTCCACGGCTGCCAATTAGGATCCCTTGCGCTTCGCCCTTGCGCGTCCCTTGCGCGGGCTTGCGCACGCGAGGGTTTTCGCAAGTACTGGTAAGGTTCGGTAACTTTTTGGTCCTGGAAGCTCAAATGCTCGCCTCTTGTTCGCCTTCAGAGCTTGCGCAGAGCTTGCGTTCGCGAGCTTGCGCACACTCGAGAGGTGTGCACGTTTTACTACGACCGATTTTTTCGCTAATCGACCTCCAGAGTCGGTTCGAGTCGCTTGGAGTCGGTTAAAAGTCCATTTGCCTTCGGGGGTCCCAATCTGGCCATTTAAAGGCTGGCCTCTTCGTGCCCCGCGGCTGCGGGAAGGCGGCCTCGCAAGAGGGCTTGAGTCTTTCCGATAGTCAGGTTCTCGGGTTTAGGGTTTAGGGCATGGATCAGAATGTCTAGAAGCAACGTGCTGCTCCATCGTGTTTGAATTGCGACTGGAAGCGACCAGAAACTTCTTGATCCTCCTAGTGGCGTGGCTACTCTGCGGAACAAGATCTAGAATGCGTGTGCACCTCTTCTACCTACGACAACATGGGACGCTGAAAACACATTTACTTTGCTTGGATTGCTCCACAACTTTTAGGTCGATGATGATGATGATGATGGTGTGTGTGTGATGGCAACATGACGGTTGAATGAGGTGAGGATTGGGTCCAGTCTTCCTCACCTCGAAACCCTCAGCTGTACACAATTGTGGCCCCAATCTACGCTGGGTTGGGTTGATCAGGAACCCCTCCTGGTCCCTTGCATTCAGGTGAAGCGTAGAAAAGCTTGTACGCGACCCCTCTACCCATGGTCTACGATGGTACACGCACAGACACACAACACACACAGAGACCCCCACCAGGTTCTCGAACTTTCACCACATTTGACTCGCCGCCTAAACTCCGGGAACGTTTCAGCTGACATCGTTTTAAGGAAGCCGCTGCGGGGACGCGGACGGGATGCTTAGGTCGTGTTTTGCGGGGCCGCCTGAAGCGCCATCGCAGCCAGCAGCCAGTAGCCGTCGCAAACGGCCCTAAACAGAACATAAAACCTCGGCCCGAAGCCCTGCACTTGCTTTTGCTTCTTTGATGTGTGCGAGGCTCCCAGGCGCGAAATGCAAAGTCCCTCTCTGGTATCTCTGACATGGCTTGATGTGTCTTGACATGGCTTGATATGACGGATGACCGTAGTAGGCTGTCGACGTCTGAACTTGGGTAGACTCCTGGTTTTCCATCCTTCCTCGAACTAGCAACTCCTGGCCTATAGCTCCAGAAGGAAATCTTCTTGGAAGTTTGAGAAAAGAAGCTCCGAAAGCTTAAGCCTCGGGCTTGAGCCTCGGGATACACGTCGTTCGACTGCGGCGTGGGATGTCTTGTAGGCTGTCCAAAAGAAAGGCTGCTTCCATTCTCAAAATGTTACTACACCAAGTAGAAGAAGCCATGCTGCTGAGAGAAACTGGTTTTACCTTTGATGCCGCAGTTTTTCCTCAAGATGAAGCTGATGTGTGCTGACCCCCCAAAAGGGCAGTTCATCTGACTCAGTGTGAGCACACCTACACAGTTCGACAATACGTTGGCATCAAGGCACATCAGGAGCGTTCCTTTTATTCACTCTCGACAAGACCGCAGGACTCCTGCCGTGCTAAGAGAAGGGCGGCGAGGGATTCACGAAACGTGTTGCGTCATGTAGAGGCAGAAGGCTTTGGCTGCCTGGGGCATCCTTGTCCTGCAAGTTTCGACAAGAGTAAGAAGGTACATCTCTTGCGCGGCAACCTACGCAACCAACTCCTAATATTTGCTTGTTGCGTTATGGTCGTTGACACACATGTGCTACTATGACCCGGAACCACTGCCACTTGCTACACTCCCCACCAACGACTGCAACTATGCGTGCAGCTTTACTCCGCCAATAACACCGTACTTTCAGCCTAAAGTCCAAACTCAACAATCAAAGTGATTGAGTTTCGAGCGCGCTTTGGCTCGGTCGTCGTAAAGGTTCAGGGCCAGGTTCGAGACCCTGTTTGTAAGTGGCGGGTGTCTGGGCAACGTGATTGTGTCCAAGGTTGGGTGAATCGGGCGACTGAATCTCTGAACTGTGACACCCAACCATCTTCACCCAGCCGGTGATGAACTGCTTGTTGAATCACAAAATCATCAACCGCAGTCTGCAGTATCAGGCTGATGGGCATTTTGGGACGATGTCTCTATCAAAGAACGCAAGACTCCCACAGCATATCTCAGCGGTCATCACCTTAGAAGCTGCTTAAAAGTCCTAGCACTGGCCTAGAGCTAGCTTTGGCTGCAGCCAGCACTTTGAGCCTTTGCTGGAGCTATGCTCTCATCACATGACGCCTCCGATCGAACCTACGTACACTCTACACCGCATCCACTGAACTTCGCTGCACACTTGGAGTTGGAGCTGCTGCCAAAGGCCCTCGTCAAGCCTCTCATTCCTGCGTCTCCACTTCTTCTTCCCCGGCCTCCTCATCGAGGACTCGTTGTCGCCTGGGTCAAGGCCGGATCCTGGACCCAAGGCAAAGCTCACCAACTTGCAGCGCTTAGATAAGGGATTGAAGCGGCTCCCACAAACCCACCACACCCCCCCCCCCCCCCCCCCCCCCCAAACCCGAAGACTCGTCCTGAAGCCTTGAACCCTAACATCCTGAAACCTCACAACCGTCTCAACCCTAAACATCCTTAAGATGTCGAACGGGAGCCCGACCGGTTCCCCGGCAGCTCTGCAAGCATCGGATCATCAAGCGCTTCGTCTGCGGACGGCCTGGTCAGTCGACGAGCGGCTCAAAGGGTTCACGGTGCCAAAGTGCAGATTCTGCGATGGGCTTGCAACATAATGGGCAAGATGCAAAAATTTGCAAAAATGAAGCGTGGGCCGTCTGCCCCCAAAATGCCGGGCTCAAAGGCTCAACCGCTTACTGAACACTGGTGCCGCCTGTGATCCGACGAGATACTTGCATGTGGCTCAACTCAATGATTCGCCTCGGGCCCTTGAAGATCACACGTATGTTCTGCATCCGAAAGGATTTTGTTGTAGTGAGGTTTGTAAATTTTGGCCAATGCAAGAAAGAAACTTAAAACTTTCAGCAGGGAAACGCTCTGGTTGCCATACGCATGTCGGCTCCTGGCTACTAATCGTCTAAAAGTCCAACATGTCACCTGGAGGTCGGAGCGCTTCCTCGAAAGTCACCCTTTCAAAACAAATACCGCACAGCTTCATAGGGTAATAGCCGAGTGACAAAATGTTCCCCTGCTTTGCAGCATTCTGTTTACACAGGTGCCCAGCGCACGGGAGCCAACACAAAGGTCCTGATATTTTGCGAGGCTGCTCACTCCAGGTTCCGGTCACTGCACTGAGGAGCCGGCACGACAAACACGCGGGGCCCCCTTCGAAACTTCATGTGGTTCCTGCACGAGGGAAATGAGATGAGCAGCGATTTTTCCTACTTTTGGGCTGGGGATGACCGAAATATGTATATGTGTATAAGGGTATTTATGCACATATATATATATATATATATATATACTTTTTTGTTTGTTTGATATTTTTATTTCTATTGTTGTTTGTTGTGTTCTTTCTTTCTTTCATCCTTCGGGCTTACGGGCCGGAGCTCCTGTACAGTTTTTGGGGATGGCAGGAACCATGCGGTGTGGGGCTTTGTTCGGGTTTATTTCGATATCAACCCCTCTCTAATCAGAATCCTCATAACAGCGTCGTTTCCCTCACCGGTTTTGGCGCACCTTGAAAGTGTGCCCCTAGCTGCTAGTCTGAATGCGGCGTTGCGCAATCGTACTTTGCAGACATTCGCGGCCGGTTCATCAGGCATGCGTGCAGGCCCTCCCACAAGCTCCAAAAGCCCCAAACCCGAGTCCAACCAACCTACACAAGACACCAAGTTCCGATCCCCCAACTCGTTGGGTACTAGTTGTCCGGATTTTTAAGGTTGTTTCTGCCGCTTGTTGCTCGAGACCAACTGGTTTGGTCAAACTTGTGCTTGATGTAAAGGCCCTTTTCGCGCGCTAACACTGTCCACGTCATCGTGGGAGGGTGGTGGCGGTTGTCGTCATTAATCTGGTTTACGATTTCGGCCGGATGTGTCGCCTTTTTGTTGGGCCAGGAATGAACCTGTCCCATTGCGGGCATGTCGCAGTCCATCACTCACTCACCCACTCACATGCTTGACACGGTGCAGACCAATCTGAGCCCTGCCAGTCACACACTGCAGGCATGGCACCAGAGTGGCTGGTTCTTCTTGGCACCAAAACCTCGGAACAACAATATCTTGCACACATTCTTCTCCAAGCAGCCCCCCATATGCCAGCCCCTTCAACCCCTAAAGTTGATTGCAGAGTTCCGTGGTGAGTGGCCTTCTGTGTTGGCTTCAGGGCCAAACTTGCGAAAGAGGTTGCATCCGTCCATGCGTCGACAATTTTGGATCGGCAATCTTGACGACTTGCACACAGAACCCGCTCGCAGCGCCAAAATCCTAAAGAATGCCTACTAAACCGAAAAACAAATCAATCCCGTTCCCCTCCAAGGAACGGGTCAGTTCCTAACTAATTAGCACTTTTAATGTCCAACTTTCAGGTTCGGGACATGCACCTCATGCCAGCTCAAGAGGCGGATTTCGCGAAAGGAGCCGCCGCTCGGTGAGGGCCGCCAGCGGCCAGCAAGGTTGTAGCTGCCCCGACCGCGCCCCTGCATTTCGGGCTTCTTTGGTCTTGAACTACGTGGCAGCCTCTGCACATACTGATTCACTGAGCGTGCTTCCCACATACGCTGCTTGCCCTATACGTACCAGGGACTGCCGAAGCTCGTGTCGCCTCCCCAACAACCTTCCAGCCTTCTCCAATGCCCAAACTTCACAGTTCGAAGGGTTCCAGACCTGCTCGAACTCCTGCACACATCGCGGTCTGTGCTACTCAAGTGCTACTCAGAAGGACCTAGCATTTTAGGGGCCAGGTACTACAGGATTGCATCCCTGGTGGTTGCCATGATGGCGAAAAGATGATGGCAAGCATACTTCGATCTAGTCACCGGCTGTAGCCACAAAGTCTAGATCCCAGCATGTAAACACGTGAGATCAATGGCGGGAGGCTGAACCGAGCACCGGGTGGCAGCCCTGCTCGGCTTAGGACTTCTAATGTTTCCCAGCCGCGTGGAGTTGTTAGATGTTTAAGCTTACCATTCTCCTCCGCCCAGGTCTACTGGCCGGGTCCAAACTTAGGGCTGAGATGGCTCAGTTAAGCCCATCCAGCTCCATCCATGCTGAGTCTGTAACCGCCTGACGAAGTACGTGGGGCAGGTGGTATCTGGCTTTGTTCGCATATACTATGCTATGTTGTCCGAGGCGTCGACTAAAAGCTGTGTGCCCAAGAACCCTCCAGCATCCTCCACCGTCCAGTGGAAGTAGACCATACAGAAGATCCGCATGAGGAGGCCATGCGACACGAGCACTAGGTTTTCCACTGGCGACGCATCCTGCAGTGCTTCGAGACCCATATCGACGCTGAAACATTGCACGCTCCACTCTCAGTTCCAACATTGCGAAACCTGTGGTTCCTCTGATGAGAGTCTGTTAATAAACATTCCATCCCTCGACCTCATTTCTCAACCCCCCAATACTGCAATAGACCCCCCGAAACTTAACAAACTCTTGACCACTGAGCCCTACCCAATCCTACAATGAAGCTGCGCACGGCCAGAACGCAGTGGACATTGGCACTAGTATGAGGTACTATCCATCTCCTCAGGAACAGCCAAGCGCGAACAACAAGCTGCACATGTTCTCAGCTCAGGGGCGATGGAGCGCAGCAGGCTTGACCAAAAGTCGCTGATGCGATCGAAGACATCAGTGCCCGCTTCACCTAGGGATGCTTTGGGATTGGTTTGGACACTATATGCGTCGCAAAATGTCGCCAAAAAACAGCCAGAGTGAGCACTCGGACGCTCAGACGGTCAGAGATGCATGATAATGTTAACCTCATACTCTAAACCCCCCCTCTATGAAGGACCCCAGGCCCACAGCTCAACTCAACTAAGAAACCCCGCCTGGACAGGGGGAATGTGTTTAGAGAAGTCGGCCGATCAACGCTTAAGCTTTGAGGGTGTGGAGCGGTGGTCCCGTGCTTCTTGTTCGGAATCGACATCCAGTGAGTGACACTCGAGATGTGCATTTCATGGTCACAGTGTTTGGGGCCGTCGCTGGCATAATATGGAGGGTAGCCGTGTGGGCCCCTCATGAAAGTAGCTGTTGCAAATGGACTCATGGCATTCTTCAACTTACCTCAACCCTCGACCATACAAACGGCATGAATAGCCTAAACCATATCTTAACATGGGAGCTAAAGGCCACGATCACTACAGTTAGCGTGCAACCATAGGGCATGCTGCTCTTGTTAACCTGTTAATTAAACTACAGCAGACACGATTTCGAAGCATACTCAAGAAAACTCAGTAGCACTCCTGTTACAGTACCTGTCCACTCAAGCTGACCTTCACATGCACCACGTAATGCAGTCGTAATACTATACTACGTATTGCATACAGGACGAGCCGGAACCTGAGAGAACAAGTTTCGATGGACACGGGTTGTTACTAATTTAAGGAGGTTCGGATGCCCTAGTCTTGGGCATTTGGATTGACAAGCGAACCGCCACGCACACGAGCAACCGTCACAAACGATCGCTGAATGACTGAAAGTGATAGCCTTCTCTAAAACCCCCCAAACCTGCCACGGCACCATTCGGGAAGCGGTAGTAGAAGCGGCCGAACCTCTTTCTCTCCTTGTACACCTCACATTGGGGCAGGATCGGGTGCCCGGGCAGGGCAGCATGGAGCCATCACAGAGTTCCAAAAGCAGAAAGATCCCGAGGTTCTTAAGGTGTTCAATTCTGGGATTCTGGGAGTAGTTTCCCACGCCTGTTCCATTTGCTCGACATCCTGAAAGTTGCCGAAGTCCTGCGCGCCAGCGGGTCGCTGACGAACATACCCCTCACATCTGCTCTGACAGCCTTTTTTCCGCATCAAAACAAGGTGCCCGAGTTCAGACATGTCAGCCCCCACATCTCTCCCCCACGCGCTATCTGCAACCAACGTCGAGTTGAAGATTCCTGGAACTTTCCTGGGGCATGCAAAAATGAGCGCTTGTGTCAAAAGAACTCTGCACCTGCCTTCAGCAAATCCACGTCCCCATCCACCGGTTTAGACTTGCAGGGTTTGGCCTAGTTTGGCAGTTCGCCTGCGCATCCCTGGCTGTCTGATGAAGTCTATGTCGCAAGTGCATGAGCACAGCCTTTTTTAGCTCTCGGCTTTGCCTCTCCGCTCCCAGTGTCGTTCAGGTCGCGATCTGTCCAAGCCCCGTCGGATTCAAACAGCAGGCTTTGCGATCCAACGCAACGCGATCCTGGACATCCAACATGTGGTGGCCCGCAGCAAGTGGCAGGGGCTGACCCCAAGAACATAAAGACAGCTCTCGCCTGACCCGTCAGATTCAAATAGTATCGCGTCTTTCTTGAACAAGCACAGGTACCATTGAGCAAAACCCTAAACACCTGAACCCCGCAATCGGAGCCCTGCCACCCAGAGCCATGGCCAAACACAGGTAATGTCCAGTGGGCTCTCACTCGTCCTTGGCCTCTTCCTCCTTTTGGCGCTGTGATCTTTGAAGTGCTGCTTTCTCTTGATTCCAGTTTTCCAAGTCGGGGCGTTTCGGGACATCGCAGGAAACAACAGAATCCAGAGGTCACGAGACTTGCCGGACTCCTGGTCCACACTGTGTCTGACTATTCGGACTTTAGAAATCCTTGAAAGAATCGGGAGCCTGAACAACTTCAAGCGACTCAGGGTGTGGCCTTTTTCAAATTTAGCGTTCAGCGCTCACATGACAACACTTTGAAATCCCCACCCGCAGGCCCTAAGACCCTACAGCCCCTACACGCACAATGTCGAAATCTGAATTCCGATGCTGCTCAACAGTTCTTGGAACCCCAAGTTTTGGAACCCGAAGCCCTCGACCCTTGAAGCCCGAAGCAAAGGGTATCCCTACGGAGCCGGGAGGGTTTGCGACCTTGGCCTCTTCCTTCGCCTCTTCTGCAGCCTCTTCCTCCAAGGGAAATGGACGGGTTGGCTTGTGGAGTGTTAGAGTAGTTCGGCTGGCCCGGAGCACAGGACAAGAACAGAAGCATGTTCTTTCATGAAGCTAATACAGATGCGGCCTCACAACAATACACAACCCACGCCATGTGCTCTCAAGCGGTCCTTCTCTTCGGCTTCGCGCGCGGCCTCTCAAGATAGCTCAGGGTGCCCTGGGGCCTTCTCCAGTGAGCCCGGCAAGCATGGCCTCTAGGGCAGCTAACCCGTTCTAGACGAAGAATGCCCTTGGAACCCTGGAAGCCCTCAAGCATCAACTGTCAACTCTTTCCGCCACCCTTTGTCTTGGGCGATTCAAAGGCTTGCTGTGCGTGAGCCCTGCGACGCCACAAACAAAACAATTGAGCTCAGTGGAGGCCCTCGACATCCTCGACGAGCGTGCTCCACGACTCTACGAAAGCTGTCTTAAGCTTTGGAGAAAGGTCTCCAGAAAGGCCTGTGAAAAGGTGGAGCCGAGGAGGCCCACAATGAGGTGATGTGTGAAGTAGTGACAGGTAGTGGAGTCTTGAGGCGGTGTCGGGCAACCAGGCAGGTCAGATGCATCTCAGGGAGGTTGCATGCTTTGTTTCCGGCGTGCTAGTAGGACACATATTTCTTGACTTCTTGTGCGGCTTCCGCTGAACATGCCCTTTGCAACGGGCCTTCGCGGTCCACCAGGCTATGAGGATGCCCCCTTTTTGACTAAATTCGGGCCCCGCCACTCCCCACAAGTAGAAGAATCCCTCCAGGCACTTCAACGCCAGCTTCGGGGGGAGGAGAGGCAACAATAGGAGCCTTGTTCTGCTCAATCTCAGAGAGGCCCGAGAGGATTTTCTTCTTCATGTCCTGAACCCAATGGCAAAGCAACAAGACTGCACCAAGGAATTCGGGGTTCCTTGAATTCACTTGAATTCGGGATTCATCGAAATCGAGCGAAGCAATGTGCGAGGCTCAAGCATTGGAAGACACCATGGTGCATTGTCAAAGACTGATGTCTGCCACGCCCACATCCCGAGCTCTCAGAGCTCTGAGACATGAACCCCCAAGTCACAGACAGGAAGCAACCTTCCTCGCACACTTAGCAAACCCCGCACGGAACCGGTGGAACGCTGTGGGGGCCTGCGTTTTCGGATTGTTTATCCTGCTATATCTGCCTTTCTAGGTACACGTAGAGGTTCAAGGGTCGTACAATGCCGCAAAGATGAGCTTGAGCTGCATCCCCCGACAGCAAACCAAACAGTGCTTTCGTGGGATCCCCTGATCATCCCGTGCCAGTAAAAATCTTGTGCGCAGACGAAGCCTGAATTTCATGTGAAAACTCCGTGCGAATCCTATCACGTTGCAGGGCCTCTTTAACCTGGTGAGTTGGACAACACTCCGACAAGTGTCTTAGCATATGCAGCCCGTAAGAAACGAGAAGTATACTAACATCTGACTAACATGTATGCCCCCAGGGCCAGGGGAGGGGGGCCCAGCCTCCTGAGGCCCTGCGAGACAAGCTGTGTCTATGCTGTGTGGGCCTGCTAATGACACAATGAATCTGGACTTTGTATACACAAAACAATGCATGAAAGGGCAAACAGATGGCAATGTGCCTTGGGAAGTATTTGGAAGCATGTCTGATGTTTGAGGATGGAAACAACTTACGTGCAAAAACAGGGGCCCCACAGCGTGCCTTTCTGACAAAACTCAAGCCTTGAACCCGACCAACCAGCACAAATCCTGACCTCCAAGCACAGCCCATACACAGCCCCGAACCTTAAAACTCTCTTGCCGCTAAATGACAAGCTCGTCACATCTTGTAACATATGACGTCCAAGCAATGACATCCGACCATACTACACCCAGTCCTCGCGCTTCTCCTCCCACTCCTTCACCTTAGCCTGGAAGTCTCCGAGTTGCCTTGGTCTTAATGTCCGGCGTATAATGGTTTACCCTTATATACACAGCTCGGACAAGCCAGGCGAGGCATGATTGGGCTCATGCCATGAGGGGTGTGAGAGGTTCTTTTGCCTCGGTTTTGGGGTCGCAGATGGTGACCGGACACGGGCCCCCAAAGCGCAGGGCCTGAAACCAGAAACGTGCCAAGCCAAGCTGCTTCTCCAGCTCCTCCAACAAGGCAGGGACCTTGCCAGAACCATCGCAGAGTGGAATGTGCGGAAACCGCATGAGTGGAAGCCACGGCAGCTGAAGGGCACAAGACAAGGAAGTTCACGATCCCAACTCTCCACAACCCCTAATCCTTGCCCAGTGATTCTAATATGCAGTGGTAAGGCCAACAACCGTTGAGCTGGTCGAGCCTGCTCTGTAGAGAGGGGCGCATCGAGCTTCAGCTGATCGAAGAGGCCTAAGCAAGGCATACTCTCCGACTTGAGCTTCGACAGTTTTCTGGCAGAGGAGGAAGTGGGTGAGTCTAGGCTGCGGGGATGCGATTCGAGCGCCCTCTTAGCGAGCATGTCAAAAGAGACCCACTGAACAGCAACCCACTAACCCAACGCTTCTGGTGCAAATTTGGCGCGGAAGGTCTCGGCATTGTGTGTGATCTTCGTAGGCTTGGCATCACTGCCTCGTCTAGCGTGGGCTTTTCAGGGTTTGTCGTTAATCTGTGTTTGTTTTTTTTGTGCTGCGGGTCTAACCGTCCTTTTGTCGGGCTCTGGTTGGATTGGATTCCCTCAGAGATTGAGATTTCGGGTTCCACAGATCAGAAGCAGTTGGGCTCGAGGGTAGGGTTTGGAAGATTCAAACGTGTGTTCTCGCACCTGAGGCCGGAGAAGCCATCAAGCAGATGCTTAAACTTCAGTCTGTATGCCGATGATCATCTGCGCCGAATCTGCGCACATATTTGTATGAAGAGACAGACAAACAGGCAGATAGAAGCTGCCTTTCGGCTTGCTCTTGCCCTTCTTGCCCGCTTTGAGGGGCGCAAAGTAGAACTCCTCCTCACGATCTTCCTCGCGCAAGGCAGCTCACAAACCGGCCATGCACCCATCACCCATCCCCGCCAAGAACCCCTTTGCATACAAGCACGGGAAAAGCAGGGGGAAATGCGTCTTAGAGTCTTTAAGAATGTCCCGGCGAGCTTTGGCGCGGTTACCCAGTTGGTCATGTGAGCAACTGGTCACTGGTCGCTGCTGTCAGATGATTCAAATCACAACGCTTGACATGCCAGACTGGTCCAAGGCTTTCTGCTGCCATCGCATGCCGGCTTTCAGATTGTGAGATTTTTGGGGCGGTGGAGGCATGCCTGAAGCTGCGAAGCATGTAACAGACGGCAACCGCGAGTCCGCTCGGGGTCCTTGCGCAGCAGAACCTCGCCGCCGTCTGGGACGTCGTGCACGATCTCAAGATGTCGCCCACGCGCAGGCAGTGAACACATGGCTGGCCCTACCGATGCCAAGCTAACCTTGCATAAACTTTCAGAGTTGCTACATACTGCTGCAACCTGAAAGTCCTGCTCTGGCTCGCACAGATTCCTACGGAACACTAAGCCACAAACCCAAGAAGCTCCCTGTGAGCTCTGCGCCCAAAGCTCTGAGAGTGCCACCTCCTTCTTCTCGTCCTTCTTCTCCTCTGTCTTGGACTGCACCAGGCCCTTGCAATACTTGATCGTCCTGAGCACACTCAGGACATTGAAGCGGCTCTGGTGCCACTGAGAGCGATTCTTGGTTGCGGCTCCCTCACCCTCTCAACGAGAAGCGTGGCAAGTATGAACAGATGACAACCGTAGTCGTCCCTAGATTCGTCCCGCCGATTTCCCCCCAAACGCAGTGTTCCCATAAGCCATGAAGGGAGCCTTTTCGTCAAGCCCCTGCGGACGACCTTCCAAGCCCCTGAGTGGGCTATCCGATGCCCTCATAGCCGAGTGGCTGCTCGATGAGGGTGATCTCACCAACATAGGGCCTGTGCAGTCCAAAGGTACTCCCAACTACAACATCTTGTGCAACTTGTGCACCTGAAGCGGTCAGTGAATCGTTGACCGTTGCTCAAGTTTCCATCATGTTCGCATCTGAAGCTCAGGACACATACACTCCGGAACCTGATATCCTGCTGCTCTGCAAGACTTTGTTTTTCCATCCGAAGCCCTTCGCCGCCCAACGCCGCAAACCCTGCAAGCCTTTGTACCCACCACAGCCCAACACTTGCGTGCTTGAGCGTGCTTGAGCGTGCTTGAGCCCGGCGGCTGCTCATCCAGCTTCTCCGCTTCTCGCTGTTTGCGGCGGAGGTCGTACTCCTGGACTGGAAAATGGTGTTGAGGCAAACTCTAGTGTGAGCCTTTGCCGAACGTGTCCACTGCAAAGAAGTGTCCAATGGCCCTAAATCCCAATTTCGACATGAGAACGATGGACCACCCCAAAGCCTTTGCACAGGCCCCATAAGGTATTTTGTTGGGAGGGTGGTCGGACAAGGCACAACTCTAACTTCTGAAACCCTAATGAAAAGGAATCTACTCGGATAAAGCCCGCAAAACAACCTCAAAAAACGAGACCTCCTACAGTTGCCAACTCGTCCTTCTGCTTCTCTGCGCGCTCAGCTGCGTAGCGCTCCTAGCTGAGGTTCGGGCTTGTTTTGCATTTTAAGCGTTTAACGCAAGAAGAAACGGGTCTGCCTTCGGTGCAAGTCCGGGTGGGGGATTGGTCTCTGTGAGGGTTAGGCGAGTTGGGGGCGTGTAAATGAAAAGTTAGTGTAAACCTTGGAGCAACGTCAATGGTCATGGAGTTTTGATGCCATCATGCAAGGGAGTCCTGGCGAGCTTTGCGGAGCTCCTGCTGGTAGGCCCAGTACTCGCGCTCCTCCCCAGGAGCTAGTCGACACACAAAAATGTTTCTCCAGTGACTCTAGTGAAGCTCCGGACTCTGAAAACACCCTGCCTGCTGACGGTACTCGTCGCGCAGCGCGTTGCGCTCCTGCGAGCCGTCCAGAGTTTGGGTGTCGTATCGAGCGTCGAACCCTGGACCATGCGAAGCCCTGGGCCCTCCGTCCGAACTGGCATGTAGGGCGGGAGGAATATGTCATCAGGCTGCTTGAAACTTGGTTTGTCAGACTTGGCATTCAAAGCTAGTCAGATACGGCAACGTCTCCGTGCCAATCCTGAACTCTCAACCTGAAAGGCTTGCGGACTTGCTGACCTTTGGATCCACACCAAGCCATTGAGCCAGCACCGTTGAAGTGACACTCTGGGTTCGTTCAGGCGTTGCCCTGCCCTCGGTACTTCTGGGGCTCTGGGGCCCAGATTGAGGCTTTGAACCACAACAAAGTGCTTAGAGTTTATCTGCCCTCCCCACCTGTGGTGCTTAGGGGAGTTTAGGTCTTCGGCTTGGGGCGTTATTTGGGGTTTAAAGGCTTCAGGGTCGGGGTCCTCTAGGGCGCGAGGGAATTAGAGGAGTGGATACTGTGAGGGGTTGGGCTGAGCAAGAATCAGGGAACTGGAAATCCAAAATGTAAAGTCCCATCCTCGATCTTTGCCCTCAACTTCTCGCCAATGGCATTGCGCTCGTTTTGGATCTCCTGATTTGGCTGCCAAATAAAATTTCAGGACTTCGACGCTTGTGACTGGTCTTGTTTTACTTCGGGGTATCCAACGCTGGCTTGTCGAGGATGGCCTGGTAATACAATTTGTAGGCTTTGTAGGCTTTGCCATGTCGGGGTTTACGCTGTGGTCGAATGCACAGTCGGGGTGGGTTCAAGCTGTGTCCAGCTTAAGCTCGAACGATGCTTAGGGGAGACACGCAAAGGGGTTGCCGCAAGCCGGCCCAAGTCTCAACCTGTCTTGAGGCATGTCGTGCTGTTGAAAAGCCTTGTGCTGTGGTATGGCCTGAGGAGAAGTGGCGAAGTGGCGGGCGAAGTGGCTGCTTGAACTCGGCAGTCCTCGATGGGTCCCAGTTGGGTTTTGCGGGCCTCGGACAGCTCCGTCATCTGATCCTGTGCACATCTGCGCGAGGGGACCGACAAGAACCGCTCGGTTAAACACTGCATCTACGTATCTCGAAACAAATCCAACCACACCGTGGCATTTAAGGGCAATGCGTCTACTGGAACTTCGGGCCCATCGACACGGCAACGTACTGCTTGGAGCCAACCCCCGAACCCAATGGACCCCTTTTTTTCGCAAGGTTCACAGGAAGAACGGTCGGTATCGACCATGTTCGCATCAGCTCCTGGATCTTCTTCTTCTCGTCGCGGTACTGCGCAATGTCTGCGTTGATCGCATCCTTCTGCTCCTGTGCACGTGCAAAGCCGTCCAAAAACTGGAAGCGGTCATTATGTGCATAGCATGGTGCACCGTCCTCTCAGGCAGACTTTCCGCTCCATGCTGTCGAAGACCCTAAACTAACTTATAAAAGATGAACCAGCTTCTTTGGGTGACTCAGTCCTGCCTGTTTTTTGGTGGGCATAACCTTGCACCCCGACCTCCTCTCCCTTCCACCCGCCTTCATGGACATGCCAGGGTCGAAGTTGGCCAAGTTCTGCTCCATCGTGTTCATGGTGTCCACCTCGCTCCAGGTTCAGGTTCAGGTTCAGGTTGGGGGATTAAGGAGGACTGTTAGCTCAGAGCGCTGTCAACAATAAGAAGTTTTTTGAGAATTTCTGACATTGAACTCGTTGGGGGACTTGGCTTGATCTCCTGAGCGCCATCTGTACAAGCCCTGAGCCTTACTTGTGGTACATCGACATTGCAGAAATCTCCAGACTGGGTCTCTCCAAATCTCGTCTTGCTTTCAGATACTTCGTTCCAGGATCTGCTACGAGTAACTTTTTCTGAAGACTGTCTTTGCCAAGGACAACCTAATGCTTCTACGAGTACCTAGTTTTACTTGCAAAGTCCAAACACTGCCCGGAGCCTTGGAGCGATTCTTCTTCCTTGGTGCTAAGCAGTTTCGGGTTTAAACATGTTAAGTTCAGGGCTCATTTTGGGCGCACAGTGTGGCAGCTCCCTCACCTCCGCCAAACAAGCATGCAAACCAACAAACAACTAATTAACACCCTTCGGGATCTCCCTACACATGTAGGGGAAGGCAGAAATATCGTCAATGGTGGAGCTGCCAGCTGCTATGCTAAGCCCAAGCACACTCCCTGTTTCATGAGCTGCCAGCTGCTCTGCCAAGCCCAGGCACCCTCGAATTTGCAGGTACGTTTCCAGCACCACACTGTTAGGCTCTTCGTTGGCCGCCCCCTAACAGTGGGTGGAGCGGCCCCCTGCGTACGTCTTGAATTCAAAAACGACTGATGTGATTTGCTCCGACCCTTGGTCCAACAGGGTTTGTGTGCACACAACAATTTATTAAGACACACACACACACAAAAGAAAAACATGCTGAGGGGCAGGGTCTGGATCTCGGCCAAAAGTTTCTTCTCCTTACAGAACCAGCTCAGGTTGTCGGCGCAAAGGCGGCTAAGCAGTGCGATTCAAGTCCGGGGTCTGCTACACTGCTACTAGTACACCAGCAACTGGGCTCATATAATGGCTTCGGCATGCTGCAGCCCTCGGTCCAGCATCAGCAACATCGCAGGTGACAAGTTCATGCAGAACACGCGTCCTCCTTCAAAGGCACGGATTCCGTGCACAGCTGGAACTCGATCGTGGCAATGCGGTTGTTGATCTCCTCCGTTGGCCCAAAAAGAGCAAACGCTCTTCAGTCTAATTTGGGGATGCAATCGCGCGGCAGGATGCCAGCGAACACCTGTCGTATGCACGTCTAATAGCAGGGGTGCAAGCGCGTGCGTTGTAGCGAATCTGTAGGCAGAAGACCACGCGAAAGATGTTTCACAAGGAAGGATCGAAAGAAGTGTTGAAAAGCTGTGCTGATCTCCTGCTGGCTGGTGAAGCCGACGGTCTTCTTCATGGTGTTCCTTGGCGAGCTATGCGAGCTCATGCTCTTGACACTTCTCATTTGTCAGACACATTTTCTTGAGTGCTTGAAGAATTCCGGTAGAGGGTTTTCATGTCCTCATGGGCCTTAAGACGGGCTTCAGCTGCGAGCGCATCTCGCGGCCTTCTTCTCGCTTGTTGCCCACAGCCTTGTTGATCTCGTCCTGTGAGAGTCAGAAGCAAATACCGGGCCCTGTCCTAGAGCTTAGGGAACATCGATTCCTAAACTGCTTTTCGAGACTTGAGATCCATCAAACAGGTCCTTCTTCTCCTGCAGCCCATTGATCTTATCCGTGACAACATCAAGCTGCGCACGAAGCTCGGCCTTGCGGCACAAACGGCAGCCCGCTTGCCTCACCCCAAAACTCCAAACCTGCCTCAAACCTTCAGCAAACCCTAAACGACTCCTCAGAGACGGGACTCGGGTGTACTTCGGAGCTGTTCGGCTCTCACCCTCGGACATTCACACAGGATTGTGCGTTGAAGCGATGTTGCATCCATCGACCAGGACAAACAAGGCTGCCTGGGTGTCGGGAGATCCTGCGGCTCTTTCTCAAACCCTACAATTTTCCCGAAGCCCGACGGCCTTCTTGGCATAGAACTCCTCCTTGCCGCCGGAGCGCTCCTGATTGCATGCATCCGTGCACGTGTGCTCACGTGTGCGTGGGCACGTCCGTGGGCCTCTCATCTCAATTATAAGAGGGCTGAAGTAGCGCTGCCAATACTTCCTTTCGACATGCGAGGCCTCAGGCTCTTGCATGTGTGTTGCGTTGGCCGGCAAGCCTTGGGCCATCCCATGACCAACCCCGTTCGCAAATTAGGCCTTTGTGACCTTTGTGAGCCCTTGCCTTTGTCTCTTGTATCTCGGCTGGATCACCTCCGCCTCAAAGCTTATCCAACTTACACTTCCCGGCCTATAAGCGGTACAAAGGCCCCACTTCTAAGCGTGCTGTGTATGTGACAGAGACATCTGCCGCTCCTGGATCTTCTCGGTGAGCTTCTTCTGCTTCTCCTCGCTGCAAAGGAAAAAAGAGTTGCACGAGTCAGAATGGACCAGGCGGAGACGGGAGGTGGTGCATGATCCTCTTTGTCTCTCTCTCTCTGGGAAAGCTTCGGGCCATGATACCGAGCTCCCGATGTTTGACCCTTGTAAGAGTTCAAAGTGTCCTGCAGTTTGTTGATCTCCTCCTGGATCTTCTCGGACTTAGCATCGAACTCTTCCTGCCACCAGGATGTCTTGGGTAAATGCTAAAAGCTGCGAGAGCACCTATATAAAACAGTCAAGGCTGAGAACTGGGCAATACTACCCAACTGCACCATGGTGCGTGGGGAACGTTGCAAAATCTAAAAAAAGTCTCTCTGTCCTGACCCCGTCCACCCCGGCACCCATAGCAGCCTTGTTCGGCTGAGGAACTTTCGACTTCTCGTCCTCTTGCTCCTGGCTGGGTTGGTTCAGACCTCCTCACAAGCTGAAGGTTGGAAGCAGGAAGTTCCCGGGTCTGAGCGGCTCAGTGTTTGAGATGTTTGAGGAACCAGGGTGCAGCGCGTCCAAGCCCACAAGCCTTGAGCATCCTGAAGCAAAACAGCCCCCCAAACCTCTCAATCTTCGCTAAGTTCAAAACTCGGCCGGCACTATGAGGGCCATGAATCCCGTAGCCACCCGACTCCCGAAGTGGCATCATGTGGCATCCCTCCCGAACCGTGTCCTCCTTCTTCACCTTGGCTTTTGCCTTGCCTTCAGCCTTGGGCTTCGGGTCCGCCTCACACGCGACTATTTTTTTGGCGGAGGTCTTGAAGCTTGGGGGGTGTGCGGGGTTTGGAGTGGTGGTCCTGAGGCATGCCCTCAGGATCTCCACAGATGTCATGTAGCCAGAGGAATCTGAGGGCTAAAGTGGCCTGAGAATGTGGCCCCTGAAGCTCGGCCTGCCTTGGCGGTGGCCTTTGCCTTGGGTGCGGTCTTTGGAGCCATCGCCTTCCGAAAGGGACGAAATTTCAGCAACATCAGGCATCTAGTCTGGAATTCCATGCCTTTGCTGTGAACATCGTTGCTATCCGGGCGAATGAACATGAGCCCATCAGCAAAGCAAAGTTTAGGGCACTGCATGGTGCCGTGTTGTAGTCAGGTAGCTTTGATGGCTCGTAGTTGCTATCGCTTCTCAGCCTAGTCGATCGCAAAGGGCCAGGTAAACCTCGGTCTAACACATGCCGCAGGAACCCTGTATGGAACCCTAACCGGCGCCCTTTGAGGGCTCGAAGATGTAAAGCGAAACCTGCACAACGCCACGCGGCAAAAGTAGATGGCCCTATGCCCCACACAATCGGCCAGGTGGCGAGGAGAGATGGGGCGTTGGGATAGCGTTGAGGCGCAGCCTACACTTGAGCCATTCTGTCTGCGAGAAGCGTGGGTTTGAGGGGTCTAGGTCGTGGGATATAGAGCGTTAAGAGCTCAGGCATGGTTAGGCTCGACGTGACCCGGTACATGCGTGCCGCTTTTGTTTTCGTTCAGCGTGGCCTCACGTCTACTGTCTTTGTTGGTCAAGAAGTCGTGATCTGTCCCGGCCCCGTCGGATCAAAGCAGGCGAATCGCAAGCGTGGACATTGTCCACGTGGAAAGCCAAGACTTGCGGAACCGGCAAGGCGCCCACATCGCACTGACCCCCAACAGTAGGGAAGTTTGGATCGAGGCCTCTGAGGCCTCTGAGGCCTTCGGGCTTGAGCTTGGCATCTACAGTAGCTTGCTTGCTGTATGTACCCCTCAAACCGCATTCTCGGTAATTTCGTAGCAATGCTTAAGAACGAAAGCAGGGATCAAGACCCACGCAGCAACCAAACATGAAGCCCCAATCCCTTTCAAACCCCAAATCCAGGGCCCTGAACTCCCCAAAGCATCAAAAAGCCATCCAGTACCCGACACTTCCCAACCTCTCTCACAAAGTGGATTTCAAAACTCGGACCCCTCGCCGCTCACACCGAGTCTCAGCTCACAAAGGGATGCGTCTGGTTGGCCCTCACTCGTCCTTCGCCTCTTCCTCAGCCTCCTGCGCGTTGGGGGCTTAGGCCGTGTATGGCAGCTTATGGGGGGAGGATCTCTGGCCCCCCCTCATTAGCTGCCAAAAGCCCTCCGTCCGGCACGTCCACCCTGAGCCACAAAATCCCCGAAACATCCCAAAACCATTAACGCAGATGAAAACCATGAAGCTCCAAAGCCTCAAACAGCAGCGATGCCTTGGCTTCTTCCTTGGTCTCCTCGGCCGCTTCCTCCTCGGTGGCTCAGACTTTCGGTTCAGATACCTTTTTGCCACGCATAGACCAAACAAGGCACCGACCCATACCCCTGCTAAGCTGCAATATCTTCGCGATCGAAAACCAAAGCCTTGCAAAGCCCATGAACCTCAAAAACCCAGTACCCCGACAGACCCCAAGAAGCCAGAATCACGTGAACCACCCCAGCAGTCCTTCTCTTCCGCCTCCTTGGCTGCCTCGCGCGGCTCATGGCTTTGGGGCACAGCTTTGGGTTGCATGTCCACCTTTGCGTTTCAGGTCTCGAGTCGCTGGGCCTGACTCTTCTGTGAGCCCAAGCTTCCCTCCAAGCTTTCCTCCAAGTTGGACCAGCGTCCCTGTTGTCCCTTGTTTGACATGCTGTGGGCCTTCTTCTCCTCAATCTCGGTAAGGCCCTCCAGGATCTTCTTCTTCATTTCCTCTCTCAAGAAACAGGATTTCACGTTCGAGGTCATCAATGTCCAAACCGCTGTTCAAAAGCGCTTCCGCATTTTGCATTTGTTGGCCAAGGGGTACAGCCTCAAAGGATGTCCGTTGCGTGGGATGATCGGGGCTCAGCATGGAAATCAAGCCTGTCAGTTTAGCCTACAAGTTTTGCGTACAAGGGCTCAAAGTTAGAGCTGCGTGTTCTCTCATCACGAGATCGGGGGAATGTCCCCCATCAGGCAAAACAACGTTGCGTCCGCCTGGGGGGTGGTCGTGGGCACTCGGCACAAAGTGAAGTGGTGGTCTTGGTACCCGGGCACAAAGACTGAAAACAAGGCGGTGTGGGTACCCAGCAATGTTCTGACAACCAGGCGGTGTGGGTACCCAGCAATGTTCCGGCACAGCACAGAAAAAGGACTCGGTTCAAGCGGCGGTCTTGGGCCCATGGGCACGAAGGCTGAAAAGGAAACGGTGGCTGCACCCAGATACCTAGGCGGGGCCAAGGTGCCCGGGTACGAGGCGGGGCCTGGCCACTACAAACCAACTGGCAGCCCTTTCACAGTCACAAGGCCGACGCCGGTCCTCGCGCTTCTCCTCCCATTCCTTCACCTTAGCCTGGTATTCTCCGAGTTGCCTGGGCTTGACATCTGGGAAATTCAATGTGAGACGTGGGACATGAGACTTGCCAGACTGCCAGACAACAAACGATCATGCCTGTGACAGACAAAGATCGAGTGAACATAAGACCACATACCCCAAGTCAAGTTTCCGACTTTCGCCTTCTCCACTCTAAGGAGATCGTTTACATGCATATTTGCGGCCTGTCAAATTAAATAGCATATCTGTGTAAGCAAGAACTGGGTCCGGCTTCCACTTTACCCGTAGCCTGATACCCTATTGAAAATAAAGGTTGTGTTCTATAATCCTGTCATGCTACAAAGACAAGCTGACAAGGCGAATCTGCTTTTCCTCCTCGGAACTTCTAGTCATTCTAGTCTTAGTGGAATCGGTATGCTCAGCAATTATACACTCAAAGTGGAGATGCTCGAAGTCATTCATAGTTTTTCGGGGAAATCGCCGGCCTGCTGGCCACTTTATGGCGGCTGCTTTGCGGCGCAATCGCCGGGCCAGTCCTACTTCCCGTCCTGCTACCTCTCCTCGTTCCTGTCCTACTGCTACTAGCAACCTGTTGTATCTCCTATCCTCCTATCTCGCTGAGTGGCAGGAGCGCGCCGTTTTTACTGATTACGGTGCATGTGAGCATACGGAATTGCCCGCAAATCGGACAACTCCACTGAGGGTGGTGAACAACAGCCTTACGGAGCGATGCCGACGACACCCCAGCCCTCTCGGACGGGCCAAGCCAAGCTACTTTTCAAGCTCTTCCAGCAAGGCGGGGACCTCCAAGCAGGGATGATCGTTCGACTGGCTGCAAGGAGCTTTTCATGAGCAAGATCGATGTTTTTCAATGGATTTCAGGTTCTGGTAATTCTCGAGTCAGCTTTGCAGAGGGCATGTAATAGACCGGAAGCCTAAGACCTCGAACCCCTCGAAGCCGCCAAGCTCCCCATTCTTCGGGCTTCATTGGGTTGGCTTGTTGGACGTTGCAGGACCCAGTAGGCCCAGCCGGAACTCCACTGGATGTTCGGTTTTTAACTTTGCCTCTGAAATCCCAGAAACACTAGGATTCGACCGTTCGACCATCCCGAAGGTGCTTATGCTCAGATCGCCTGCTCAGTGGAAAGTGGAGCATCGAGCTTGAGTTGGTCGAAGAGGCCTTGGGTTGACAGCTTCGGCTTGGTTTCTTGGGGATTTCCAAAATCGGCTGGCGACCTCTCAAGCGAAAACCCTCGAAAACCCTTGAATTAGCTTCTTGAACTGAACCTTGACTCAATTCACAGGCCCTCAGCGCGGCAGCGGGGCGGAAGGTCTCGGCATTGTGCGTGATCTTCGTAGGCTTGGCGTCGCTGCCTCTTCCAGCGTGGGCTTTTAGGAGGGTTTGGAAGAGTGCGGGCGGATGTGGGGGTTCTAGCTTGGGCAGATTTCGAGGATGTTTCCGGTGGTCCTGGTTCCGACTTCTCGCACTTCAGGCCGGAAAATTCGATTTTAAGAGACGTAAACAGACTGACAAACAGGCAGATAGAAGCCGCCTTTCGGCTTGCTCTTGCCCTTCTTGCCCGCTTTGAGGGGCGCAAAGTAGAACTCCTCCTCGCGGTCTTCCTCGCACAAGGCAGCTCACAATTCGACCATGCCCCTTGCTTTTCTCTCTCTCCACCCCTGCCCCCGAAGAACTGTGCATAAAAGCAGGGGAAATGTGTCTTAGAGTCTTTTAGATTATGCCCGGCGCGTAGGCCCAGTTGTAGGCAGGGTCATGTGCACAACACTCAACATCCGCACTGGTCCAAAGCTTTCTGCTGCCACCGCATACAGGCTTTCAAGTGGAGGCATGGCTGTCGAGGCATGGCTGCCAGAAGCTGCACAGAATGTCTCAGACGGAAACCACCATCAGAAGCGAGCGATACCGAGTCTATCCTGAACACCCGGGTCCGGGGTCCTTGCGCAGCAGAACCTCGCCGCCGTCTGGGACGTCGTGCACGATCTCAAGATGTCGTCCACACGCAGGATGTGAACACTTGGCTGGCCCTACCGATGCCGCACAAACCTTGCATAAACTTACAGCGCTGCTACATGCTGCTGCAATTCACGCCCCAGGCGCTTCAGGAAGCAACCACCTTCAAAACTGCCTAAAAGTCCTGCCCTGGCTCGCAGGGATTCCTGCGACAACACTTAGACCCCCCACCTCCTTCTTTTCGTCCTTCTTCTCCTCCGTCTTGGACTGGACCAGGCCCTTGCAGTACTTGATCGTCCTCAGCGCAAGCAGCACACTTTCACTGTGTTGCTTGTGACTGAAAACACACTCACGACAATCCTTCGGCCAACAATAACCTCAACCGTATCGACAGCAATCTCGATGGAAGCCAGGTAGCGGTAGCAGCCAGGAAGCAAAACCCAAGAAGGTACATATTCTTGAAAGCCAAAGGGTTTCTCGTAGCATCTTTCTCATAGCTGCCCGGTGATGAAGCTACCGACAAACCTCCCGCAGCTCGTTGACCCTAAAAACGCCCCGACAGCACAACACTCTGCACCGCTACCAATGGAAACTTTACAGCCTAAGTCATATAAAGACCCCTGACAGGATGCTTAACAGAGCAGATGAGAAATACATGACACATGATGTATCACCGCTGTAGTTGCCAGCTCATGATGCCGCAGTCTGCCAGAGGCCTAGCCGACCTTCTACCACATTCTAAGCCCCAAATCCTACTTGCCGAAACCCTCTAAATCGAATCGCTTAACACAAAAAGAATCCTCCGGCAATTCACACCCTCAGCCCTTGTCACGCACCCCCCAACCCTCAATCAACAACCTCATGAAGCGAGCGGCTGCTCGATCAGGGTGATCTCGCCAACATGCGGCCTTCGAGGCACCAAGAGTCTGGACCTATTCTTACCCCTTGCCCGCCAACCCCTACCAGGCGGAGCTCCTGAGACAAAAGCCACAGAGTCCCCCAAGTCCCAGGGTGCGGAGGATTGACGCTCGCCGACTCGCCGCCCCTTCAAAGCCAAGCTGCTGCTCATCCAGCTTCTCGGCCTCCCGCTGCTTGCGGCGGAGGTCATACTCCTGGTGAAAAATTGTGTAGGCACGGTGGAGTTGCACTGTGGCTCTGCGAGCAGTTGGAGTTGGAGACTTCGAGTTGCTCTGGATTTGGTGCCAGGCCTTCAAACCTGACCTGGACTGCAGACGGACAGGCCAGGCTTTCTTCAACATGTTCAGAAACGAACCAATGCTGGAACACTGCAGGGGGTGACTCCTTCTGCTTCTCCGCACGCTCAGCCGCGTAGCGCTCCTCCCAAAAGGTGTGATCTGGCTTCCCCTTCGGAGGATGTTTTTAGTTAAGGGTTTCGGGCGGAATGGTTCAGGGCATCAGTCCAAATGATATTATAAGTATTACAAGTGCTAAACCATGCAGCCTCAAGCCGTCATTATAGTACCTAACAATACCCTAAGTCCCAGCCAAACGGCAACCCTAAATCCCAAACCACTGAAAGCGTGGCCCGACGCAGTGCCAGATCCCGTTCGAGCCCTTGAGTTAATGTTCCGTCAGTGTTCCGTGTGCCAGTGAGAAATGCGAACTATGGAGTGTTTGGGGGTATTCGCGTTTTGGTCTGAGCCTGTGCACCTGAACCTCTCGGAAACCCTGAAGTCCTGGCGGGCTTTGCGGAGCTCCTGCTGGTAGTTCCAGTACTCGCGCTCCTGCGCAGCTTGTGGAAGTTTAGGGCCTTTTTCAGGGCCTCCGGTCGTTGTGAAAGAGCTGCGCTTACTCTTCAGCGTCGGGGAGGGCGCCAACTAATGCTAGGAACCAGGCACCCCGGCTCTCGCCTACTAGAACACTAAGGAGCTGTACCAGCCTGCTGGCGGTATTCGTCGCGCAGCGCATTGCGCTCCTGGCTGCTGCGCAGGCAAAGTGGAAGGTTCAAGAGGTTGTAGTATGTACACACATTTACACGGTTCATGTTGGACCCTCTTTAGTGTGTGGGCCCCCCCGCCCGCCACCCCCCAGAACAGTCGAAGCTGTTTTTGTCCCTCATTAAACGGTCCGGAGGTTTTTTTGATTAATAAGGAGGAGTTCCTTTAGAGGGGATCCCTTTGAGTCCAAAAAGGAGGAGTTTATATTATTTAGAAGGGATCCATAGGAATTTAAAATGGATGAGTATGTGAATTTAAAGGGGATGAGTATATATGAATTCAACAAGGGACCCATATGATTTTTCGAAATCCAGGGCTGGCTCCTGGACCACCCCTTTGCCGGATTGATCAAGGCAATTTTTCAATAGATTTCACAGGGAATTCTGGGTTTCGGAGTTGGGATTCCGGTCTTTTTGGGGTCTTGAAAAGGAGGCCTGCCTTCAAGATGCAAAAGCCCGGCCTCGGTTTGGTGCTGGCTTCAAAACAAACCCTAAGTTCTGAAACAGAATTCCGGATTCCGTTTACCTGCCTTTCAACAGGGTCCTGGTCTGCACCTGGGCACCTTGACTCTATACCTTCATCCGGTACCATCCAATCCCCAACCCTATAATCCGAATCGGATCCTCAACATGATCTGCACCGGTCAGAAGCATGCTGATCGACCCCGCTCTGGTTAACATGAAGCATTCTGAAGCATGAACTTCCAGCCCTTAGAAGGCATACGGAGTTGCGACGCAGTCCTCGATCTTCGCCCTGAGTTTCTCGCCGATTGCATTGCGCTCATTCTGGATCTCCTGGCCCGCACTTCTTGTTCCGGCAGGGGATGGGTTCCATAGATAGTAAGAACAAAGCATATACGTCGTTTTGCGAGAAACGGAGGGGCCAGGGGTACAACTGGCAGTAGTCACTAGTCCCGAACAAGCGCGTCCTCGATTGGTCCCAGTTGGGTCTTGCGGGCTTCCGACAGCTCGGTCATCTGGTCCTGCGGTCTAGAGTTTACAAACCTTAGCCAACAAGCGGCGACGGGGTTTCAGTTGACAATTCCACTTGAAAGTCGCTAGGAACGTTAGGGCCGCGAGGGCTAGTAATGTGTAGTATGCTTGAGTGTATTCAAGTCCTGGATCTTCTTCTTCTCGTCACGGAACTGCGCAATGTCCGCATTGATGGCATCCTTCTGCTCCTCTGGAAGAAGTCGAACAGCAAAGCAAGCAAAGAGGCAAAGCTAGCTAGCAAACCGGCCAATGCTCTCAGCCTTGGCGCAGTGAGCTTCCTGGGGCTTACTGCAAGACGCCTAGCCTCAAACAAGTGAGCTGCCACTCGTCGACCCTGAACCCAAAAGGCCCTACCACCAAGGGCACTGCATCTTCCATGCTAGAAGCCGAAGATCCCCCTGAACCATCACACCTCCGAGAAGGGCCTTCATGGACATGCCTGGGTCGAAGTTGGCCAGATTCTGCTCCATCGTGTTCATGGTGTCAACCTTGCTTCGCGGCAGCTCCAATATCACAAAGCGGCTCCTCAATCCCGGAACCCTTTTCAATCCTTCTGATGAAGCCGTAGACATCCGTAGACCCTAAAACCTGCACAGGGGATTTACAACAAAAAACAAGGCAACCCACGCGGGTTGAGGCAAGGCAGGACCAGAAGTTAAGGGTTTGGGAGTTCCCGTTCGGTGGATTGGGGCTTCAGGCTTGAAGGGTTTTCAAGTTTGAAGTTACATGGCTTCAGAGTGCAAGCTAAACGGTGGCACCGTCTGGCCTTCTCGCCGATGCGCTTCGCAGTGTCGATGCTCAACGGCTAGGTTTTAACTTTTAGCTCGTTTTAGCACTTGCAAAGGCTTTCAGCAGATTGCACACGAGAGATGTATGCCTAGGAATGATTCGGCACCATGAGATGTGCATAGAACAGAAGGCTCCGCAAAATTAAGCGGCACGCCAACAAGCAAAAGATTTGCACAGCTTGACAACTCTTCCCGAAGAGGTACGTAGCGTAGGCGAAGAATCTTCTCTAGTGCGGACTGAGAAGCCTTGGAACGGTTCTTCTTCCTCGGTAAGTTTTTGGGTTTGTGGGGCTGGCATTGGGTCAAGGCTTTGAACTTTTTGACTGCTTGTTCCATCTGATGTTGGAAACTGTCTGGGTAAGGAATGCTGCGCCAATTTGCTAGGAACCCAGCCATGCCCAGAGCACTCAGGTGCTTTGCCTCAAGGGATGCTCAGCCCTACAAGCATGTCCGAGTAATCTCCGAGGCCAAGCTTCAGAGTCTGGATCTCGGCCAAGAGTTTCTTCTCCTGCCGTGCATGCTGCCCTTTCTTCTCAAAGCTCTAGAGGCCAAGCCCCTCATGATACCCGCTATCACTCGTGATTGAGAAGAAGCCGCCCAACATCGCGACTGTCCTCCTTCAGTGGCACGGATTCTGTGCACAGCTGGAACTCGATCGTGGCGATGCGGTTGTTGATCTCCTGTTGTCGCGTGTCTTAAATACGGACTATGAAAACTTGTAGATACCATCGAAATCAGTCGGGGCGGCAGAGCATTCGGTGTTTTCCCGAAGCAGAGCAGGTGAACCACTGGCGAGCCCCGTCGCTGTCCTGCTGGCTGGTGAAGCCGACGGTCTTCTTCATGTTGTTCCTGAGAACCAATCCCCGCCTAAAAGGCCATATACCGGCAGATAAGTACCCCTGACTGCACACCGCCAGCGTGGTCCCTGTGACACAGGTTTTTTCGAAGCTGGTAACCTCCCGAACCCCGCGCCTTTGAAGCACATACTGAAAGTCTTTGAAAGTTTGGCGTAGTTTTGGGATAAGCCGCATGCTGAAACCATTGGAGTCAGGATTCAGCTGCGAGCGCATCTCACGGCCTTCCTCGCGCTTGTTGCCAACGGCCTTGTTGATCTCATCCTGAATCAGGCACACGTCCATGGGTAATAGACTGTCCAGATTAAAAAGGGATGCTCACACTATTGGCACGATGAGAACGAATGTTGGTAGTCATTCTCTTTGAACAATTCATATTCTGTGGCCTAGAAATACTACGAAAACTATTCATAGTATTGATCCTCCTGAAGATACCAATGCCAGCGAAACGTTAAGACGAACAAAGCATTTACACTGATACTATCAATAATGAGAAAAATTCAAGATATAGGCACATATAAAAAGTGAAAATCGCGACTAAGATAGAAACACATACAAACATGTGATGTGAAGCAAAAGAATTGCAAGGATATTGGTAATGCTACTTCAAACAATATCGGTATGACGAGAAAATGAATGATATGAATAACATGATAAATATAAACAATTTTGACAATCTTAAAACCACGAAAGATCTTCTTATTTTTCGTAATATTTGAAATCATTCGCGAACAATATTAAACTAAATGCTATTTAGACCTAACTGAATGAGAACTATGTGAAAAATAGGGCTAATACGAAACACTAAGAAAACTTTGAATAGCATTACCTTTATTCGTAGGGCCAATAGGAGTAACAAGCTTAACCATTCTACTCAAACTTGTCAGCATTAATACTTTCAAGATGTTAGCAAGATTTGATAACACAAATGTGACCAATAATCGTGCTAATGCTATCCGCAATTTGACTGAGAGTGTAAAAATGTTACTCATATGATTCATGTTATGAGTATTCATGGAACTACTCATACTATTAAAGCTATTAGTACGACTGTAGGGATTCATGCTAAGAATGCTAATGGTATTGATTTTGCAATAAATGAATACTACAAGTGATGCAAATACGATGAAAACCTGAATCATGTTGGGATTATAAGGCGAATAAGATTAATGGTGATGTTAGTCAGCTTAACAAAGTAAATAAGATTGCCGTTACTCTCAAAACTAGGAACACTATTCATCATACTACTAGTATTGAAAGCAGAAAGAGTCCTAACGTTACTGATGCCATCAATTTTATCAACACTATCTCCTGCATGAAGCTGATGTAGTCATACTCACAATGCTCACGGCTCACGGTATTGCACAATTTACGCTGGTCAGCGGTATGAACATTCATAAATATTCTTAAACGGAAAAATACATTAATAGTATCCAAAGATGCAGACTAATGTCACTAATGAAGATACTGAGCTTAGTAATGAACACTGTGCATGTTCGAAATATAACGAATATCTTTAGTATCAATACTAGCTTTTTGAGAAAACGATCAATGTTACTAACATCACTACTTGCAATATACCTTATCTTCAATATTGTTCGCATGTTTTGAACAGACAATCCTGCTAGCAACTGTATTAATACTACTATTAGTATGAAGATTCATGATGTCGACAATGTGAAAAACAAGTCAAGATGCCGGTTCGAAATCATATGCATATTGCGAATGAAACGCAGAACTTTTTGTCGCTTGAGAAATTCATCTTAAGCTGGTATGCTTGTCTTGCAAAATCTATAGTAGGATAGGGACTGTGATAGCAGTAGCAGAACTGGGCGGCCAAGAAGCGAGAAGACTGCGACATTGAAGAGGGGGACAGAGCGAGGGAGGGAGGGAGGGAGGGAGGGAGGGAGGGAGAGCAAGAGACAGAAGGCGAAAAACACACAAACAAACAAACAAACAAACAAACACACGCACACACACAGACGTTGAAAAAATAGCCACAATATCATAAAGCCCTCAACTCATGTTAACCCAAGCCCTCAAACATGTTCATACCCTCCGCAGTCCTTCTTCTCCTGGAGGCCGTTGATCTTGTCCGTGATGACATCGAGCTGAGCGCGGAGCTCGGCCTAGAAGCAATAAGGAAAAGTGAGGCTTCACTTAAGCCCGTGGAGCCATGGAGGTTTGCGCTGCCTTGGAGAAAAAGAAGGGGTGATGCCACTCGCATTGCTTAGGGAGCCACCAGGCTTCACAAACTGCCCTGAACCCCTGTGAGGTCCTTCTTGGCGTAGAACTCTTCCTTGCCACCGGATCGCTCCTGGCACATGCCGTGCGATATGCTACATGCAGCCTGCTGCTGCAGCACTGACAATCCGCAACCTGAGGTGTGAGGGTTAAGAGCTCTCGAAAGGACACACCGGCAGCGCATGGGCAGAAGGATCGGTCTTTTCAGGCATTCGGGACCACAACTGGAATTACTCAAAGTCAGAGCTTCGCTCCAAGTGAATTGTAGATTAGCGTGTCCTACTTGACGGCTAGGTGTCCAAGATCGACTTTTTGGGCCGGGGGTTTTGCAAAATCCAAAGCATCTGTAGAACCAACAAAGGCCGCCAATGTCCCTCTCCTGAATCTTCTCGGTGAGCTTCTTCTGCTTATCCTGGCAGGAGCTGCAAGCTGGCAGAAATACGAGGGCCGAAGTTTTTCGGTGCCAGCGTTGCTTCTCGCCTTTGTTTGATTTTACCTGACTCCTGGTCCGGTTCTATCTCCCACCCTCAAAGAAGCCCAAGAAGTATGAGAATCCCCTCAGAGCTGCAAGTATAGCAGACTGATGCCTGCAACTGGGGAGGTCTGTACATGTCGTCTGCCCCTGCCATAACAATGTCTGTGTCTCGGTACCAGGCATTTGGGGATATTGGATATTGGCTTCAAGAATTCTAAAGTTAAAGGCTTTTCTGCTCTCTGAGTGTGTCTGCTTACGCCGAGAAGGCATCCTGCAGCTTGTTGATCTCTTCCTGGATCTTCTCGGACTTGGCATCGAACTCTTCCTGCAATGCCGGCGTGTATCACGCCCAGCAGAAAGAGGTGACTCTGGGGTGGATGCTCAGGCTTCCGGTGTTCGGGCGGCGTTACGGCTTCAGGGGGTGCCGCCTTCAAGTTGCCTCAAAGCCCTACGCTCCTGTACCCTCCCTCTCTGTCTGTCTCTCCCTCTCTCTGTCTGTCTCTCCTCTCTGTTTCTTTCTTCTTCTCATTCTCAAGAATTTGCCCCACCCCCCACCCCCCCCCCAACCAACCCCGACCGGCCGTGCCCTATAGGTCTTGGGCTGGTGGTCAGCCGATGCTCTTTCCTTCCTTCCTTCCTTCCTTTCCTTTCTGCAAGACCCCTGCGTGTTCAGCGCACCCCCGTTCCTGGATGTGTGAGAGAGATTGTTTTCGGTGCACAGAGGAGCTCTCGCTCGGCACGCGTGATCGGTCCAGCCCAACGATTGTCTCCAAAGCCTTAAGGCCTGACGCCGTGAACCCCAAGCTCCTGGTATACGCCGTGAACCCCAAGCTCCTGGTATCATGGTGGTAGCTCGCAGTTTACCCCCTTCCTGATACGGCCAGCAGAGAAGCATAGACCAGGCTGCTCCAATCACTCTCTGGCTAACTTTCCCTTCCCAGCCTTGTTGGGCTGAGGAACCTTGGGTTTCTCATCCTCCGGCTCCTGCGGTGGGGACTTTGGGGCGGTTTTGACTGGAACTGCGGGAGGCCATCGAGCCTGCATTTGAGGGAGTTTGGGTTGGCTTTGCATGCTTTTGCATGGCCTTGTCGATTCGAGGAAGGGGTTGGGGGGCGCAGCTTTGCGGTTTTCAAGTTTCGGGGGCTGCAAGCAAGGGCGGTTCAGAGTCAAGCTGGACAAGCTCCAAACTTCTCAGGCAAAGTGCAAGTGCAAGATTGAAAGCTCGTTGTCATGCTGAACACTTGTCCGACTTTATCCTTAGACACCGCCGCTAATGTTGCCACACGTCTGAGCCTTAGAGGCCTCAAGCCCGACAAATCCTTGCTCGGCAAAGAGATGAGGAGGCTTCTCCTAATTACAAGGAAAATTTCAGGTCGCTGCACAGAGACAGCGCAAGCTGGGCAACATGTTCTCAGCAGCTCGCAACACCGGCTTGGGGGCCCCAACCAACCAAGCACGAAACTCTCACGAAACGCCCCCTTTTCCCTTTGGTTGTCCTCCTTCTTGGCCTTGGCCTTGGCCTTGCTATCAGCCTTGGGCTTAGGGTCCGCCTCGCAGACTGCTCCAAGTGTGAGGGCTCAGGGTTCAGGGGTGTCCGACGTGTCCTCGACCTTGTTGCGGGGTTCACGAAGCTTGTGCTTTGGGTGTTAAAGAGCCCGGACCTGCAGACTGGGGATGCCGGGCCTGTGGGAACATGAGTTTCGGCATTAGGGCGCTGGACGTCCGTCTCCAGCCGCCCAGAAGTTGAGGCAATGACGTGCCCATGCAACGACTGAGATACGAAAACGGCGCATAGCTTACATCTACTCCCAATGCCCTGAAGCAACGACGACCTTAAGCCAACCCAAAAGTAAATTCCCGCTTCCAAAGTCCGACAAACCTCCAAACCCCAACAGCCTGAAGTCTTAATTACGGCCTGCAGAAGAAGCTTGAAGCTCAAAAAGTTGACCCTACGAAACCTCAAGCTATGGTACTACCAGGCCTCAGCTTTCAAGGGGCCCGAATCCCGAAACCCCCACCATCCCCAAACCGTGAGAGCCTGAACAATCCCGGCCCCCTTTTTCAAAAGATGAAGAAGAATAACAAAACATGACACACGAGCAACAAGAACCAAAACAAAAAGCATATCCACAACTTGGGCAAGCCTTGGCGGCAGCAGCCTTGGCCTTAGGTGCGGTCTTCGGAGCCATCGCCTTAAGGAGAAGGCGGTAGGACTCTAGAAAACAGTAGAAAAGGCTTGTGAGAGACACTTTGTTTTGTCTTGCGATATCTTGCGGTGTTGCCCAGGCCATCCTGCCAGGAATTTCAGAGTGAGCTTTGCCATTTCTTAAGTTCTTTCCAAGGTGTGCCGTGGTCTTCAGGCCAAAGGACAACATGTGCCGGCCCCCAAACCCAGCCTGTTTCAGATTCCCCCTCAGCAGACACGACCGCTTGAACAAACCAACTTGTCCAGGTTGCGAAGAGAGATGCGGGGCGTTCGGGGTAGCGTTGAGGCACA